GTGCTGACGCCACGAAGCTTGGGTCTTTTTCTCTGATCGCAAAAGGGGCACCCAAAGCTTACAGTTACCTTGCTAATGGCTTCTAATGCAAACTTTAGGAACTAGGGTGCTTTATGCTGTATTAATTTTACTACAGCAGAAGCTAGATGTTCTGTGTGAAATTCGTCACTACTTGAGGTCTGTCAGCTCTGGTTTTCCCGTCCTAAACACTGACTTTTAAATTATACGTATAGATAAATGTCCACATAATTAGCATTTTAAGAAGTGGCCTGGGAATATGCCCATTTCAGCTATTTTTATTACCAGTATCCTTTAGACAGATACGCAGGGAATATGAATCACTTTGATGGCATATAGCTGGGGATATTACTACTCTGTGTATTAAGGAGGGTCATAACTTATTTTGCAAGCGTGTATTTTACTATTGGTTACAATATATATAGTTCAGTTAGGTGGCTTTATGTATTTTAGATTGTTTCACCTTTCAGACGTACAAACGCAACACTGACCTGAGCTTTAGCCATAATTAGGAAACAGAATTTTTGTCCACAGTTCAGATTGCATGCTGCCTAGTTTTGCAGGGGATCTTAGCCTGAACATCCCGCTTCAGTCTTTCCATAGCATTGCAAGACTATGGCGGCAGCAGTTCCAAAAACACATTTGCAAAACAAAAAGGCTGAAATAGGTCAGTGTGATGCTCCATTTGCTTTTTAAATCCCAGATAAAGCAAAAAGGTTTCAATCCAAAACTCCATAGCAGGAGTCAGAGGCACGAACCAATAGCAAGACAAACACGTCACCCCAAACAAAGAGGAAGCCTTCCTAATAAACCGCGACAGAATTTACAATCATGCATCACAAAAGTCTAAGCTTGCTGCTCTCAAAAGCAAAGGAAAAAAAAAAAAAAAGAAAAGATTCAAAGGAGCTGACAGACATAAGAGCCAGGCAGAGGCAATAAACACACGATGATTAGTATGAAAGAAAAGAGCTCATGAAAGAATCAGCTTGACCAGAATGAGGAAAGGGAAATGTGCTGTAAACAGGATATATTTAGGGAAAAATATGTAGAATTGTTTTTGCTGGGTTTTTTTTTTCAACTAGTATTACTTAAAACAGGTCAGGAAGTGAGAAAATAATGTTGTACAAATACAACATTTGCAACAGAAACATTTGCTGAACATCTACGCTGAAATTCAGTGTGAAACAAATGAAAAGTCTAGAAGAACTGAATCACCACAAAAAGTCAGTTCAGAGGAGAAGTTTTTAAAGATACTTGTTAGAATTCTAATTTTGCATTTGTAAGGCTCATGGCTGACAGCTATAAATCACTCATAAGTCAGTGAAAGAGTATTTTGAACAGGCTGAGAAACTGAATAAATAAGACAGAAAGGTTCAGTACTACGAAGGATTGTGGCTTGTCAGCTTCTAAGCCAACAGGAATTTATAATCCTGTTTGGATCAGGACAAAGCAAGACATTTGAACATTGTTTCTTCACAACTACCAGCTCCTGATGCACAGAAGAGACACATTTAAGATGTTTAACTTGAAATCAGATGACAGAACAACATAGATATAAAGGAAGCAGGAAACTTGAATGGGTGCAGGACTGGAAAGAACTTGAAAGAAGGCAGTACAATGGAAAGTAGGGACTATGGCGAAAATATAGCTGAAGGCTAATTTTATGCACGAGAGACTACTTTCCTTAGGCTGCCTCTAAAGCCAGAGGAAACAGGCTTCCCCAGAGCTCTAGTCAGAGCATTAGCCTAAACAGATGCTCTGAATCACTCATTTCCATAACCAGAGGCCTTTTAGGGTGCCCTCTTAGTCCACAAGACACCTGACACAGAATTTATTGATTAACCTCAAATGTATTTTCTCCATTAGAGCAAAAAAGAACGTAGCAGAACATGGTAAACAAGACACTTTACCTGTTCATAATAAAGAAACATAAGATGCAAACGTACACCTAATCACGGCTGATACTAGGACTTCAGTTTCTATATAAGTTCAGGGAAATGTTCCAAGGATATGTAGTAGGTCAGTTCCTCAGAAGCATGGGGTCGAAATCGTGGGGCTACAAAGAAATATGAAAAGATCACAGAGAAACTCTGTCAGCAGTCTTTATACAACTCCTAAGTTTTTTGCTAAAGCAGAGATTTGGTAAAAAGGCCGAAGGTTAAATCATTCAAGTTTTCATTTTGGTGTAATGAGACACAAAGTGTGTTCTTTCAATTTTTCCCTCCTGAAGTTTTCAGGCAGTTTTCAATGGGCAGTTTAAGCTCCTCCATACATGTTTCAGGAGTAACTATGTCCATTAATTTCATAACTTAAAGGAATAGGATTTCAGTTCCTGAGTAGTTTGTGTTGTGTGTCTCAAACACCCTGACAAAAGCATGAGATGACAGTAACAACCTTTCATAGGGAGATGCAGAATGCATTAGCCACATTATGAATTTGTGCTGCACATTAAAAATACCACGTGGAATTGAAAGTAGCCCTGTAGGTCAAGGATGAATTGTTGGAGGTAAACAGGATGGATAGAAGAAAGTTTACAGCATCTCTGCCTGTGTAACACCAGGTCTCAGTCCATGCTGAGATTTCCTCATACTTGGATTACCCAAAATGAGGGAAAGTGGGGGGCAAGGGGGAGCATGGAAACCCCAAACTTTCCACTGGTGCTCTTAGCACCGTAAGGGCTTATTTATTACAGTTAAGACAAAGGGGTTGTTTGATACCTTAAGACCGTCTGTGCACAGGGGCAGAGGGGCAAGGACTGAAATGGAGCAAAACAAAGACAAACTGCGTGAATCCACAAAACCCTTTTAAACCCCATGCTTGAATCCAGCCACTGAATACCACAGACTTTTACACCATAACTTACACTTGCTGAAGCCTAAAGTCTGGAATTTTGAAAGTCCAATAAAACCTATTTCAGATCTCATTATCTCCAGTATCCCCCTGCATGCTTCCTGCCTCTCAGGCAACAGTTCCCCTTCTTCTTTCAGTCCCTTTTTTTGTTCTGCGCTATGTGCTTTCGTGACCTCACTGTATCTTTTTTCTCAGCCAGGACCACTCCCACTCACTCCACTAGACTGCCTCCTCCACATCGCTTGGGATGAAGAAAAAAAGATTCCACAAAGGTAATTATGATGAACCTAATTGCATTATAGTATGCTCTGTCTCAAAAATGAGCTAAACGCAACCAGACAAATGCATATATACAAATCTTTAGCTTAGTTTTAAGTTACTCTCTCATCCTTTGCCTCATGTCAAAATAAAGCGGGAACTGCAATCACATCCTCTTTCTTCGAGTCATGCTTAAATCAATTGTGGCAGAAGGCTCTCCTAGGGCACGTTAATAAGTAAAAAGGAACGAACCACCACTTCACTGTAACAACGGGTTGCCACCCTCCTTTGTGGCAGGAATGACAGAATCGGTTCAGAGTTTTCCTCAGGACATCCTAACTTGCTGCTTTGTGCCAACTGTTAATTCCACAGCAACTCCACACTCTAAAACCACGGAGCTTGTCAGCCTGTCGCAAAAACTGCACATGCTGGCAGAACCGCTGCCAGCTGGATGCTCCGGTGCCTGCTGTTCAGAGTCACCCAGCATTATTGTCCTTTTTAAACTTGCTGACTTCAAAGAAATTTCAGGAATCATCCAGGTACACATCCAGAGTAGCCTGGTGCACGTTCTCTGTGCATTAGTTTCCCTCCAAATAAATCATGTAATGGTCTCTATTCCCTCCAAGTTAGCTGATGGATTTGAGTGGAAGTAGCAAATAAACAGGCAATTCCTGATACTGAAGCAAACAGAAAACATCCACATGCTACACCAAATCGCTCTTCTCTGCCTCACACTCACAGCTGTGGTTTCCGAGATACATGCACGCTGTTGGCTCTTCTGCTCAAACTCTGGAGGCTTTCTACTATCTGATCTCTGGAAACAACTGGATGCGTGTCTAGCATTGGTGCAGCCAATCTGTTCTCCCACGTTGTTTTGGCTTAGAGGTGATCGTTAAAATCTAATGAAACACCTCTGCACCTCCTATAAAGAGAGAAACTTTAATCATAGCAACTGGCAGACCAAACACTTAGCTAGCTGTAATCAACAACTTATGGCAGCCAGAATTCATACACTGCATATAGTGTAGTGCATATAGACCTATAGGTCTAGAACTCAAAAGGCTCACACAGCCTATTCCCTGAATACACTGGTGTGACTTGATCTCCAAGCAGTGACATAAAACCCCACTCATACCTCATATGGTATTACTGGGCTTGGTATCTGCTGCAATACAGTAACTAACTAAAAATGGATACCTATTTCTGATCATTTAGTAAAGCAATATTTTTTTTTTTTTTTATAAATGTTTGCTTTCTTTTGGGACACGTGAAGGCAAACAAAAAACAAGCAAACAAACAAACAAACAAACAAACCAAAAAAAAAACACCCAGACACCTAAATACAGCTTCCTCTCCATTTGTTTTATTTGGCAAAGTAGCAATCCAGACAATTCATACAGCATTTATTCAAGCTCTTCAAATCTGCATTTCAACTTGTCCTCTTCTCCAGGAAGCTTTTACCTCAGAACCATTGCTCTTTCGTGGAGGGGTCTTCATTTTCCAGTTCCTAAATGCTACTCCTGGATACTACTTTCTGCCTCAGTAACTTGACCATCATCAACCCCTTCTGTGCAATGGGCATACTAATCCCAACAGCCTTGGTCCCCGAGGTCTTACATCTCCTGAAGTGGTTCTCTCTCTAAAAAGTTGTTGCCAGGTCTCAGCTTTATCCCCTTCTGTGTTAGGCTAGTTGGTTACACTGCATCCAGAGACAAGAACTTGGATACAGTTGAGCTCTTATCTTTCATTTAAGTGATTAAATTAGTGAGATGTAAATAAAGCTGAACTCAAATTGAATGATAACAGTGACCAAAAGGTTGAACATTAGCATGCATCATTTAAGATATTTCACTTCAACACCAAGAACTAGATTCACAGCTGATTGTGAGTTAGTACAAATTTGCCAGACGCCAGTGGGTTTTTCTGAATTGTGTTTTCTAAAACACATATTATTTCCTTTATAACACTGATCTTTGTGTAGTGCTCCCAGGCTGCAGTCAGATCAGGAGGTGGCATATTAGCTTCCAAACACATCTAAATAAATTAAAGTGATACATAGCTTTTACGTAGGACTAGGATGGAACTGACCTTCAAAAGGAAGGTTATTTAAAACGTTCCTCTTTCATGTTCAGCGGCCTTTGACTTTAACCTTTATGCTTTCAGTGATTAATCCTATCACAAAAATATTGCTGTTCTGCCATAAGCAGTCAAATACATTTTGCAGTGATAACTATCAGTCGTCTTTATGCAGATTGTTTTACTCTATAATCCTTTTTAATGTAAAGAAGAAAGGAATATTATAACATGCAGTTTACTTTCATTTCTAGTTAATCAGAACTGAGCACAAAGAAAACGCTTCCTCCCTTTCCCAAAGCAGCTCAGTTTACTATCTTGCTTTGTTTTCCTGTTGTCATTTTACACTAGCAAACCACAAAACCTGGGGCAGAAAAAGGTTTATACCCTTCCAACTACTCTTCTTTATGCAAATTGAACAATTACATCTCTATCCGTATTTAAGTGTTCAGGATTTATTATTCCTTCAGTACCTATCAAGTTTTCCTCATATAACAAGGTGAATTCATCTTCTGAGAACTAACCCAGAATTTTTCCTGGTTGCCTACAGTTGAAAAATTAGAAAGTTAATACAGCAGATATTTTTGTCAAAAGCACCTTTCATTTAAAAAAAAAAAAATCAATCTAGACGTTCCTTTAATTGGAATCTAGAGATCTGTGTCTCTGTAGTCTACCACATAGTGATCCTAACCCTCCACACAACAAACACACAACCCCCTTTTTGCTTTTAACTTTATTTGGCAAAGCAGCACTGCATAAACTGTTCAGTGATTGGGACATAGCTTACATTATATTTACGGAGTTAAATCCACATAGATCATATCAGCAATGAGCTATAAAACAATACAGAGTTTCAAGACTCCGTTAATTGTCTTAGAAAGGAAAAGGGAAAACCATGTCCGTTATGTCCAACTTGAACAGCAGCGTTTAATAAGAGCGGCCACCTCTGATGTTTTTATTATATACAAATGCCTGGTTTTAAGGTAATAAAGCAGATGATTGTATCTACTACATGCTAGTCTACGACACCATGTCAAAAGCTTTAAAAGGGAAGTTCATCTCCTTTTAGTAGCATCTAGCAGACATCAGAACACAGAAAACCTGATATTACTTATGTAGTGTCATAAGGTGCACAGAAGCAGTTTTACCAAGGGACACAGGAGTTGAGAGAAGTGAGTGTTCAAGTACCCCCATCAAAATTAGCGTTCACAAGCTACAGGTCTTTGTCTGCAGTTTTGCAGAAATTCATTTCTTTGAACAAATGAAAGTAAAATAAAGGCATGTTAACTGAAACAGTGCCCACACAAAACTTTCCACCATTTCTTTATCAGATTTGCCTTGAGCATCTAAAAAAATAAAATAAAATTAAAAAAAAAAAATCACGCTTTTCCATGCTGATAACAACAGTATAACAAAGTCCAAAACAAGCTGCAATGCTGTTGGTTTTCAAAAAGCTTTTAGAACTGGAGATGAGCAGTCCACTGTAACACTATGTTTGGGTCAAGATGATGTAGCTTTTACAATTCATCCCTGCAGAAAGAAAACACATGCGATTATGACTCTTCCTCCTTAGAAGAAATTCACATTTGAAAATTTTTGATATTGAATCAGAATACATGTAATGCTCAAACACAGCAGCAAAATTTCAGAAATCTCTTCAAGCATTTAAACAAAAAGGAAAGGCAACAGCAATCCCATAATAGCTCAAACTATCAGGTCACACACCATGAAATATGGGTCCCTCCTCTATCTGACACTGACTGGATCATTTGCTTCAACCCCATCTCACAAAACACAGTAGCTTAAAATAGTTAAGCAGCTACCTGTCATCCGAACTCTGTTGCACATGTGCTGGCAAGAAACCGGGCCAACTTACTAGACAGAGTATTGGCAAAAAGCATTCTCAAGAGCTGCCAAAATGGCAAGTTTAACTTCAGCTGCAGTCTCTCAAGAAAGCTAGGAATATAATCTCACATCAACACTTTAGAGCTTGTACCATCTATTTCATTTCCCAAAGTAACTGTATTAGCATACAGTTCCTTCCTTCATGAGCTAAGTCAGAACTATGTTAAGGGAAGGAGAGGAGGGGGGTGTCTAAAACAAAAGGAGATTTACACAGGAGAAAAAGGGTGCATCAAAAAGTATCTCTAAAACACTATGAGGACTCTAGAAAATGCAAGTTTTTGTTCCTATAGTACCTTTAAAACATACTGAAATGGAGAACCCACATTCCAACAGTGAAATTATGATGCTTTAGTGATTTATGTAAATATTGCTAAAAACATTAACTTCAGTGCTAAGTGTCCATCAAATATGAAAGCTGCGCACCGTTCCATTACTATGACTTGGAAAATTCAAACCAAAGTGTTTGCTTTCTTTCTAAGGCACAAACATTCGGTAAACTGACAGTGAGTTTGCTGCAATGTTTCTTTTAGTAGATGCATCATCCTCATTAGTGAAAGCAAACACTGCTTTAATCAAGAAAAACTTCACTAACGTGATTGCTGGCCTAAGACACAACAGTATTTCCAGCTATCATGCAAACTAAGTGCTACATGCACACGAGCAAAAGCTCTAAAGTTACAAAGGCATTATCTTTCAGGAATCATATAGCATGGAATGACAGGATGCAAAACATTTAAAAGAAAAACTGAAAAGGCTGTTGAAACTAGTGCTTAAATTACTAGTTTTCTGTCTAATGCAGCAGGGATGTGAACCTTAAGATTTGTTAGCGATAAATATTTGCATTATTTGCACTTGGCACTGCCTTTCAGTAGTGAGGAACTAAAACTAAATAAAGCTTCTGAGTGTTGCAGTAATTTGAAAAAGCAGAAAACAGTAAAAGGGAGAAACATAAGTCTTGGCAGGCGTAAAGAAAAATCTGTTTAAAAGTTGTTTACCTCAAACAGATGAAAATAAACGAACATCTGATACTCAGTTTAAAACACGGTGCAGGTGAACTTAAGACAAGTACTTCATTCATGCTTAATGCCTCCAGGAGCTGCATCACCAGTTAATATTTACAGCATGAAAAAGAATATGTAAATAATGACTGCTGTTATGGCTGTATCGCCTCATACGCCTACTTGCCGATGTGATTTCCATCCTGAATCCTATCATATCAATTTAAAAACATTCTCGTAGCTTTATAAGAGACCGGCCTTTTACTGTGACAAACAGTCCTTTAAATCCAATCTACACCCTCAAAAATATCTAAGCATACAAAAAACGCCACGTTTGCTCTCAAAGTGACAAACATGACAATTTCACCCATGCACAAAATTTGGCAAGGTTTTTGCATAACGTTGGTATTGCACTTAACATATTTCAAATATTTTTCTTTTGCAAAATAATATTCGTTCTTTGAATTCAAATGAGTAATAGATAGTATGTCAATGTTTGAACTGTTGGTGTTTTGTGTTAATTAAGCTATTCCGCACAAAATGACAGTGTTCCTGTAAATTCAAGCATATCTTAGTTCAGAAGTCCCTGTCAAAATAATGATTTTCATATTCTGCTTATCCCAACATTTACCGTATTAAGGGGATCAGCTACCATCAAGAGATTTTTTTTCACTTGCTCTTCACTACACGTTGAATCTAACAGCAGCATGCCAGCCCATAGCAATCCATGATATGCCTCAAAATTACGCAGTATTTATTTTCTACTATAATGAGAAACTGACCTCATATGTGCACTATTGGATCACGTATATTTGAAAGTTAAAGAAAAGTCTTAGATAATCAGATAGATGACAGTACTCCACTTGCCAACCAACGTAAACAGTTTGCAGACTTAATTATGCACTGCGATACAGAATCGGTTGATCTTAACTGCAGGAGTATGGATCAGAAGTTGCCAAGCTATGAAAGCTATCCGGTTTCAACAGTAATCCTACTGTTACAACAGGATGCTAACCTATCCTTCCAGTGTTAAAAGATTTATGCTGCTACAAAACTTACAAGCAGACTCAAAAAGAGACTACCATTTCCTTGTTAGAATATGCTGTTGTCTTCTAGAAGCGTTGGAAAGATCTACTAACCTATATTTTTCCTCCCTTTTCTAGGCAGGGCTATTGGCTACGATTCTTGGACAACACAGGTACTTTCTCTCCACCTTCGCATATGCACCCCTTCCAATCTGCTTACTAGCTCCTGCTTAGTAAGCAATATATACATTTAGGTTTAAGTCATCACAATAGTCCTCCTCAGTACCTTGGAACTCTAGCAAGAGAATCACTCATCTAATATTGTCAATTCAGGCATCAGGGCAGCTTTATTAAGCACAATTCGAATCAAATTTCAGAAGTCATCAGCTCAAAATTGCTATTCTAAAAATAATAAAAAGTTTGGCTTACTAGTAGGGAACATATATACCATGAGCATCCCACATTTTTTAATGGGAGCATCCAACAGAAAATTAAGAAGGAGATTCGCAGAAAATCTGACAGGTAGCATTTCAGGAATATTTCACTGTTCGTTATTTTAAAAAGATGCAAATAACAATATGAAATAAGAAGCTTGCAACAGAGGTGAGTCATGAAATTTTTTATATAAATATGATCTGTCTCTGTCTTCTTGGTGGAAAGTATTCAAATTAAATACTTCAACACCATATATAAAAGTTATCTGTAATTTGTACTTTTTGATCCACTTCAGTTTTCTTGTCATTAGGATGTCTTGACATCTGACTTTCCCTTTTTGATGTAATATTTATGAAAATATGCTATCATCACTGACACTGTATTTCTAACTCCTAGGATTCAACTGCCTTTGAATGTGCAGCTTTTTCCCAGCAGTGTTCAATTATTTCTCCTTTCATAATTTTTAAATAAAAATAGGCTCAGTATTTATACCTGAAGCACTTTCATCTGGTAAGGTGCTGTTATGAAATACTTATCATGATCAATCATCAGTTTGAGAGAGTAAGTTCAAATGATTAAAAAAAAAAGGATGAATTTTCTCTTCAACCTGCTCCACAAGTTATATCACATCCATATTTGCATGACATCAATTCTAAAATTTAACCCAAAGTATTTCTTGTAAAGATTCTTTCTGCCAAAGTGGACTAAAAACTTTAACCTTAATCTTTATTCTACATAGCCTAAGGAATTCTGGACACAAAATTCCTGCTACTTTCAATTGAAATTAGACATCTAGTTCACTAGTGGCTTTTGAAACATTAACATATTTCTGCTTAGAAAATCATATTAAAACATTCACCGATAAATGCATTTTTCAAAAGGGTGCTTAATCATGTTGCACGTGAAGATAAGTGGGATATAATAACATCCCCCATCTATTCACTGTTTTGTTTTTGCTTAAAAAAACAAAACACACACACACCCCTTACTGTCACTATGATTTCGTAGTTGATAAACAAATACGAATTTAGCAAGACATTTATAAGTCATTTCTACTAATGCAGTATGTGAAGTCAATCAAAAATGTTAGGTTTTTTTAAACAGTTTCTGTTTGGAAATAAAACCAAGCTTGCAACAGAGACTCATTACTAAGCATTTCTTACATCATTATTCTCTAAGTTGTCTCTCCATACAAGTTTTTTTTTTTTTTTAAATAAATGAAGTCTCACAGAAAACTAATATCAGAGAGATACTAATTTACACACAAACTGCCGATAAGATAGCCAGTAAGCTGTGTTCTCAACTGCGAGGCATGAGAGGTCTTACCTCCTCCCTGCCTCTAAGTAAGAAAAAGAATTAATAATTGGGATGTTTTACGTGAAAGGATGAACATCCTTACCTGCATAATTGTGTGAATGCATAAATGCGTAAACTACTACTGAATCAGTGGTACACAAATACATGTCTTTTACTTTGTACCACACTCCAGAGATAGGACATTTGGAAGTAGACTGTACACAGAGACCCTACAGAGCCACCACATTTGAGAAGATTCCCATTCGTATTCGGGATCTAAACACTACTGCAGCTGAACCAAATGCAGAAAATTGACTAAATTTAAAGAAATCCAGCATTCACAATGCAAGACTCTATTATCACAACATCACTTAATCAAAATCCAGTCTGAGTTCCTTTCATTCAGTTCAAACTTTCTTTTGCTCCATGTTCCATCTCTACACATACAAGAATGATGCAAAGTGTCTGAAGGTAAGTTTAACTACAGATACCACTTAAAAGATTAAATCTCATTTAATAAACCCAATATTAGAGATATAGCAAGAGTAAAGAATTTGTTTACAGTTACCTTAAAGTTGTAATTCTGTATCTTATTCCAATTACTATGCCAGATTTTGTTTTCATGTTGCCTGTGAATAATTAATTTGAAAGTAGTTCTTTTCACCTGGTTGTCTGAAAGGCCTTAAGAGTTTAGGAGATGATATTTAACCTGTCCCAGGCAGGAGAAAAGCCACAAGAGGATGACTAACAATTTCTCTAACCCTTAGTACTGGCTGGTAATAGTCTCATACAGGATAGTACTAACTACTCCAACGTATGCATGGCCAAGCAAAAATTCAAGCAGCTTCCTTCTTGCAAACTGGAAGGTCTGCTAGCCTAGGAAAATGCTGGCCTAACAATTTTAGGCTGTTTTGTGAAGGAACATCGATTCTTAACATGATGAAACAGTTACCTGTATCAGGAGCGAGTCGCATAATATAACGTTAACTAGGAAGAAGACAAGCTGAGCACACAGGACTCTTGAGCTACTCTGAAAAGACGACTGTTCACATCCAGCTACTGAAATACAATTAATTTTGCATTTACAGCAACTGGAGAGTCTTTATTACAGCAAGAAAAAACCTAAAGACCTCTTTCAGAGGCGTCTCTAATTGATCTTCAGCAATTCTGAAACTGAAATCTAAGAAGCACAGAAGAAATATCTCTTTTACCTTTCACTCCAGCATGGACAGCAAATGCTGATTCATAATCAGCAATTTCCTCAGCAGCAGCCGGCTGCCTATACGCTTTAGGCTCACCAGTACAGAAAAATAACAAAAGAGACAGAGGTGACTACTTCCTGTAAGGTCTAGAATACATTGGCAGTTCTCCTTGAAAAGAGAATGGGAATCTTCTTCAGATCACAAGAGGATAATTAAAAAACAAACAAACGTTACAAGAACTGTAACATTTCAGAGCTGCCCTTACCAGAGATTCCCAAGTCTGAAGCAAATTTAAACGTATAAAGGAAGAAACAACCTCTGTGGCACTGTAGTGATCAAAGTATCCCTTCTTGCTATTTACGTTCTTCACTCACATTCTCTGGTAGCATCAATATATATTCTTACTACTAAATAAATAAATATTTCAGGAACTATTTCAAAGAATAGAAACTCATAGGAAAATGGGGGGGGGGGGGGGGGGAAAATCAGTACTTGCTTAGGTCTTCTCAACAGAAAGCTCCAAGTGCTTTACCTAAGAAGTTTTCTACAGTTTCGATGTTAGAGTCACAAAGGCTTAGGCACAAAGTCGGAAGACAGTTTACTATATCTTCCTGAGTGGGTGGAGAAAATAGAGTACAAAATTCCATGGACAAGAGATGCAAAGACCTCACAATCCTAGTTCTAAATACACAATACCACTCTTACTAGTAGAGAGGGATAATCGTGCACGTTCCAGAAACTCTTCAATAAACACTATTTATAAAAACAGATGTTGCCATCTAAAAAACAAACAACAAAAAAAAAACAATTGCAACCGTAAACAGAACAGGTGGAAATACAAAAAAGAAAAAAAAAAGTATAAAACCTCTTTGGAAAAAGAAAGGCTCAGAAATAATATTCCTCTTTTTGAAGTAAGCAGAGAGTGGAATCCAAATCTAAAGGAGGTCCCTCATGTTTGCCAGAGGAGGAAACCGACCACAAAGCGAGACTTCCAAAGCCTTACACAGAGGCAGGAAGCCCAGGAGAGCCACACTGAGGGAATACTGGAAGTGTGCTCGGATAAAGTATTAATTTGCATAACAAACATGAAACATCTGAATAGACAGCATGCTTCACAGTCTTTGAATTAAGCAGTAACTCATTAAAGCTGTTTTAAAAGTAATTTGTACATGGCAGCTATACAGTAATCTATCAAACACTGATGTGAGGTTTCAGTTAGGAGCAGTAATCCAGACTGCTTTATTTGTACTTTAAGTTATCAAAATGTACACTAAAGTTTAGGTGCTGAAGCAGACAAACAACAAGCTACACTTCAGAGTATCTGGAAAAAGTAAAAAAGAAATTAAGAGTTGTAAAGCTTGAAAGTTATTTTCAGAGCTCAATACACATGCACACCCTTCATTAATGCAGCTAATACAATCACAAGTGTTGTGTTTTCTGTCCAGGAAGCAGAACAGGACTGCTGTCTTCCTTATTTGCATACTAATGCTTAGTATGGTTTAAGCCGACAGCTGTGTTATGCCTATGTTATTGGCCATCCAATTCAGCAAACTGGAAAGTTTACTACCTCTAAGAAGGCCTTTAGAGTTTGCTGTGTTGGAGAATACCAGCACATCCCTGCCCACCAGAGACAGGTGACAGACTTTAATAATTAACGTGTCTGAGAAAAGTCTTCTGAGCACTACTCAAGAGCACATCTCTTCTTCAAAAGGGAATTAACTTCTCCATATTTTGCTACTTGGAGGCTCAGGGAAAACTACTTGGGAGATAACCTATATTGCTCCCTGAGGATCTCCAAAAGATTCTTCTGCACTTGTACAATTAAATATATATAAAATGAGCTCTCAGTTAGCGTAAACTTACAGGACAAGACAATACTTATTCTGAAGTAGTATTTTATACTTTTTCATAATTACTGGGCAGGCTAGTTTAAAGAGTTCAGGGAAGGGAAGTTTAAATTTAGAAAATATTGTGCTCAAGCAATGAGTAAGAAACTTCACACAACAAACGACTACAGAAAACATGAGTCCAAAAGAGACAAAGTGCAACTCATGCAATATTTTTCTTCCACTTTTAATTTAACTTAAACTTAGCATAACCTCCTTTTGGTGATGCAGTAATGCAGACTGAGTCACTTTTCATGGTATGGAGGAGCAGAAAGCAATGACAGCAGCAAAGGCAGGCCTTGCAGTCTATCTGCTTAAAATTCACACCCTTTCACCTTGCGTGTGTGGAAGAAGTAAGTGGAACAGAAAATCACTTCCACCTGGACCACTGCTTCTCTTTATCTGTTAAAGGCACATATATCACTCCCATCAGAGGCTTCATTTTGACACTGCCGTCTTCTAGTTTATCGTACTGTTCAAGCATCTGGTTTCCCCCTGCAGGACCGACTGGTAATATCAATCTTCCGCCAGGTTTTAACTGATCTATAAGCTAGAACACAACACAGAAGTTAGCATAACGAGCCACTGTATTAAAGCTGGAGATTAAGGTCATTGTATTAAGTAAATAGCCTTGCCACATTTTATCTATCTACTACTACGCAGGACGTAACTACTTCAACTAAAAAAAATTAAAAAAAATGCAGTGAAAACTCCAGTATCACAACAACATGGTACAATAATTGGTATTACAGAAAAATTCACAATGATTTCGTATAATTCCCAAATATATGAGATTTGTGATGTTTTGTTTCTTTATCTTTCTGGAATAATTCTAAGGAGATTCATTTCCCAACAACCCTTCTTCCGTTCTTTGGATGCAACAGCATTTTATGAAACTAGTCTGAAATACCAGAGTATGATTAGCATAAGTGACAGTTAACAGCATATAGGAAAGAATTGCTAGAAAACTGTTTTTGTTCTTTCAAAGTTAAAATAAGGAGGTTAACTACAGTAGTCTCAATGAAAATTCAGTATTTTCCAGAAGCCACGTGGGGCAGGGGAGAGATACACCAAAAAAAGCACCCCAAGCCCTGTCTCTAATAAAAGTTGTAATTAAAAAATGTTTCATTCAGTAATATGCTTTAAATAATCATTTCAATTGCCATTTGTCAATACTTTGCTGGAAACATCCCGCAAAAAATAAACAAAAAACCCCACTCAACTGCCAACATCTAGATATGTATAGTCTACCAATAGCACCTCAAACCTCCACAGTCGCTCACTATCTCTCATTAAAATTCACATTAAAAAACAAACTTAACTGATATTTAGCTCATCAAGCTATTTAAGAGCATGCCATATATCAGTGTTTAAATTTCTCTCCCCCACTCCCTTGGGGAAAGGAATAGAAAAGAGTTTATCTGTAAGAATGTTAATTTACTTCAGTTATGCATACTCTGTCCCTAGTTACTCTTTAACCGCTCTAGGAAAAACTGCATTGTATTCACTTTGAAAGCTATGAACATATGGCATTCTCTGTCTTTCCAGTTGAGCGTGTGGCTTTTCAAACAGGCCCAATACCTTGGAAAGCGTGAAACAAAGATTTAAATTTCATAAATCAATGTTGATAAAACCAAATTAATCTACTGAACAAAATACTCAAGTTCACTGTGGTAATACAGATGGTGAATAGGCCATTTTAAAATATTTTATTTCCAGGAAAGTTATTAGATCATGCAACTCCTGCAAATCAATGGGAAGCCCAATTACAATAGAAACAAAAAAAACCACACCATATACTAACTAACATCATCTTACCTATTGACACTCCAGCTGTGCGAGTCTGTTAAGTATTTTAATTAAGTGTTTATACATCTATACAAAAAAAGTACTCTTTATAGCAAAAAGATTAGAGACTCAAACACACAAAATATAAAGGCTTACTGCTTGGGGTACAACTGGTGCTGCAGCTCCTACATGAATTGCATCATAGGGAGCTTCTTCTGCATATCCCATTCTTCCATCTCCCACTGCAAGAAAACACTTTTTTTAAAACCTTTTCAAGAGGAGTGGAGAAAACAGCTGATCTGTCATATCTATAGATAAATAAAAGGCTATGCTCAAATTTCAACTAAAATTCTCATCCACTGAGCTGTAGTAACATGATGAAATCAGTTTTAAAAAGTACAATTAGAAAATAAATTTAACACAAAAAACTTCATACATATGCACACAAATACATACACTTAAAATATATGAAATACTACTGAAACATCTGAAACCAGAAAGCATGAATTTACAGTGACAGTTCTTTGAGACATGGGGGCCGTCCAGAAAGACACCTGAGCATATATGGGCCCTACCATTCCAATGCAGGTGACTTCCCCTAGTTACCTGGTTTTGCTCTCCCTTGCAAAACCATCGCTAAATATAACACAAATCTCTAGTCTAAAGCATTAAATCTCAAAGGCACGCATCAGAAGACTCTAAAGGTGAGGAAAAGACGAAGGAAGTTTTCACGTGGACTATACATCTATAACTACACTACTGATAAATAACCTCTCTGCGTTGCAAGGGAAGTCCACACCTACATTCAAGTGTTACCCAGTTCCACACTAATCCCCACACAAGCCCCCTCTGCTTGCAGAAGGTTTCACCATCCTTCCTGCAGGCAATAATTGCTGGGCTAACACTGATAGCCGGGTCAGACCTGTGGCTAAAGCTCCAGATGGCTGCTAGCAAGAGATCAGGAGTAGTGAAGTTATTCACTGTGCTACTGTGGTAACCAAACAAGACTAGTAACAGGACTTAAAATGACTGTCAGTCAAATATGGAAACAGGAAACCATTTCGACCAACTTGAACTGCTTCAGCTGCCCACCTGATCTACTGTAAAGCAAAGATACTTCTTTGCAGCCATTCTGAAGGTTGAGACACACAAACTTGCCCCCAGCTTTGTCTAGATGATATAGGCAAGAGTGACACCTGAACTTGAATTGAAAAATAAAGGCATTGCATTGTTCTAAGTACTTACTATTTAAAAAAAAAAAAAAAAGGGAAAGAAAAAAAAAAGCAGAAAACCATGCTCATTTGTAGCATGTCCTAATTCTCACAGTAAGTCTGTTGCTTTCAGACTCCCATAGGAGGTTGACACCAGGACCACTATGGTGTGACAAAATACCAAACTCAATAGAGTAAATCTAATTATACCGTTCAGAACTCAAGAATATAAGATTATCAAGTAACAGCGTTGACAGTTATGAGCGAGATAAATATTAGTAGCTGTAGATAAGGCAGCCAGTTGCTCTCCACGTATTCTCAAAAGAACTGAACGGAAGAGACTATCTAAAAAACAAATAATCCAGAGCCCCCAAAAATCCAAAATAACTGTAATCTCTAGCAACTTTTATGGCAATCCTGTTGTCAAAAATGAGCCTGGGATTGAATAAGGCAGAAAAAATTAAGTCTGATGCCGAATCTGCAAACCTCTAAATTCTGAAGCTGCCGGCTCCTTTGAAAAACAGCCGGTCAGTAATATTTCCAAAGATCTCAGCTGGGTGCCTTTGAATAAATCTGATAGTCCAGCTACCACAGAACGGAATGGAAAACAAAATTAAAACGGAAGTCCTCAACTGGTGACTCTATGTCAAAAGAGGGACCAAACCTTGAGGCAAGCTGTGAAGGAAGACGATGTGAATATGGTATCCACAGTATTCAGAGCAAGTCATCAGGAAGTTCAAAGCAAGTTAAGCTTTAGAGTCTCCTCTCTGGAGTTATTTATGAACAAAAGTAATCCATAAATTCATACTCAGTGGGCGCAGAAGTCCCAGCAATTAGACAAGAAGAAAATGCATGGAGGCTGATGAATATGTTCTTCTGCTCAGCACAAGTAGTTGCTTTGGGTTTCCCGTCTTTGGGCTGCGCTTACACTTTTCAAAAAAACCATTAGTACCACAAGTTAAGTAAAATGCTAAACGAATTAAAAGAAGTTCTAAGCCCCTGCCAGAAGCTGGAACACTGTCAACTTTTTGCCTTTCAGCAGCTCACAGAGCAGGGAAAATACAATGTTTCATTTTGACCTCAATGATCGGGAGGGACACCTTGATAGGAATGACATACTGAAGAGGATCCAAGAGCCTATAGGAAAATTTAGACAGCTCCTTGAAAGGATTAAATACCTTTTTGCCATCTGTTGTATGAGGCCCTGACACCCTGCAGAGACCTCCTACACCCAAAGCTTAAGGACTATAAAAAGAGAGCACATTTCCCTAGGAGCAAGAGTCCTTTAAGGTTGAGTGAGATATTTCCTCATATCATCAATTCTAACCAACACAGACTCCAACCATGGGTCACAGGTGGAGGCTGCCAAGAACTACCAATACTTCAAGAGAACACACGCCTACAGATCACCAACTCCACTAAGTAGGTTTTTATTACTGTAAACAGTAACAAAGATTACCGTAACAAAGATGAAAGTTCCAGTAATCTCAGGACCTAGTCTCTCTCAGAGAGAAAGTGCGTTCTATAGGATTAACCACCTAAGTGTTGTCTGGTGTGTCATTTACATATCTGCCCATATTCTAGTAGCACTTTATGTTACTATGTCAAATTTCTGTTCCATTACAGAAAGCAATGGAGAGAGACTTCTTTAAGTTCAAACATACAGATACTACTTTGAATGATGCTAGTTAAACAGGGAGACCATCATTCCCTAAGATTCAGCAGCAGGGGTTTGAAGCACTTGTCTCTGGTACTACCAGCAAAAAAAAAGAGACTAAGTTGAAGAGACGGGTGTGGAAGAAACATCTAGGTTGTCTTCTGAAGAACAAGGCACGTATTCTAAGATTCACATGCACCTTGTGCTCTGTCCACAGAAGTCTGGGAGGATGACTTCTGCACATCTTATCACTGATGGTGCTAGAAAGGACCCAAAAGATCCACAGCCATTGCTTTTAGATTCAATAGTCCAAATCAGAGCTACCATCTTCAGAATCAGCACCAAAGAATCAGGATCTTTTACATGCATCAAGCTCATAGATAAGGGAGGAAGCATACTCTACTTTCAAAATTCACAAACAAATTCTCCTGGCTCAAGGAGTCAGGTATATATCCACCCACAACAGGAACGTACTTTTAGATGCCCAGAAGATAATTTGTTTTTTAAGTAAGCATTCAATGTGGCCCAAGAATTATTCCATTATTCAACGTCCAAGGGGAAACAGGAGTTCAAATTTTGAGCTTACGCTCACACCCTGAACAACCTCACTCAACCTACTGAGAGCTCTAGCAAATGCAGCATGTTAATAAGAGTAATCACTTAAAAAAAAAAAAAAAAACCTTCCTCACATAAGAGGGTTTTGTTCCTTGCTTTTAAGCCTAGAGCTGATCTACTGATAATGTACTCAAGCCATCACAAGCCATAATATCTTTTCCCAATGTCTCTGTGCTAACCTGTTTCACATAGGGAGTTGTAGCATTAATATAGAAACAGACGAAAACTACTCTTCTTTGTTGTAGTTACAGTACCCTCATCACTTCTGCTATGTCTGCGTTAGCAAACAGTGCAGCACAATAGGAGCAGATTTGTGGAACAAAGCAGTTACTGCTGACAACGTGATGTTCATCCAACATATGCATTTCAGCATGTTTGCTCTGGACTAGTTCTAGTCTTACTGGCTTACATCCGTTAACATTTCAAAGACATCTGATGGCTTCCCAGAGCACACAATCCAATCTAGTTCCATCCAAGAGGAATCAAAGTTTGTGCTCTCTCCATGACTACTCTATGATGTGAACCAAAGTGTAATAAATGGAGAGAGTTGAGAGATTCCCCTCAAAGGCACTCTCCTGACCTAAAATAAAAAGCAACTATTGACATACCCTACATACACCTATTCCTCCGTTCTGAAATGCATTTATGGCATATTTGAGGTGCAACAAAGCAACAGAGAACATTTCAAACGCACCTGTCAAAAGCCAGTGACTGACTTATCTAGCCTTAACTCTCACAGTTCCCAGTTACAAACCAACCCTGTTTGCTGTATTTTTTACAGCTTTGTCTGGATTCTAGTTCCACATCAAAGGGCTCCCAGGAATCCAGTACAGTTGAAACATTCTCCTTCACCCACTTCACAAACCTGCTGCTACTCCTCCACCTCCATTTTCTTTATGTACCCCACTACAAAACTGTTCATAGCCATTCTGCCACGTTAGTCAAACATAATATAGATGATGAGATTCACTCAGAAGAATTCAGAAGAAGAACTCACTCAGACTCCCCAAAGTGTCAGAGTTTGATTTAGATATAATTGGAAGCATGTCTCCAAACTGCTCTTGCAAAAAGCACCAATAGAAACTATGCTCCCCCCAACAGTCCTAGTAGGGCTCCTTTTTCAAGGAACTTTTTAAGCCATGCAGTGTCATCATTGAGAACACATTTTATACATGTGTTCAAGTATTTGTGTTGACTGGCTTATTGCAAAATATTTAGCATCCACCATTTGTGAAAAAAGACTCAAGGACCAAAATGGGAAGAATTTGGTTAAGAGTCAAACATCACAAACTATAATATCTTTTCCCAGCATTTTTGCAAGAACAGCCCCGAAACGATCCATAGTCCTTCAAGTTCCTTTTAAGCTTAACCAGCAGAATGATAATCATGGAAATGCTTTCATTCTGCCAGCTTCCCATTTTCCAACAAAACATACTTATTTAATGAAAAGGAAAGTCATGTATGATTTAGACCAATTCACTGTTCTTGAACAACTTTAGCACTATTTCCTCTCCATAAATCTGATTTCAACTTGTTTGATATCAGTTAACCACTGCTCTGAAATATAAATAATGTTCATTTTAAAAACAAGTGAGATCAACTTGAGCAATGCATGCTACCAATCTAGTACTTTTTTCACTTTTGACTTTTTTCATGCAACTTTTTCAATTACTTCATCAGAAGCATGACGGCTTTGTTAAAACGCCTGAATTTAAACGATAATACGTTCATTCACGAAAAGCTGTAGGTCCAAATCCAGTTTCAAACAGCAAACAATATGACAGAGCTTCAGCACGAAAAGCTGTCTCACAGGAACATACTTCCATGTTAAACAAGCATCCATAATAGAATGATTACATATTCTTTAAAACTATTGGAAGCCATGTAATCAAAAAGTGTGCACAGATGACATTTTTCACAGGTCTAAAGAGGGCTTGAATTTTTAAGTTTTCAATTGACTCTTCTTTCTTTGGTTCAACTTGTTAAATTAGAACTTTTAATCTATCTAAATTCCAGTTTATTTATCTAAATTTCAGCCAGCTGCTAGAAAGAATATACGTTTAACTAGTATATCAGAGTATATCAGAGTCTGATGCTCACCAATCAGTTTCACTCTTCCTGAAGACAGCAATGTAGGATCATCTTTTTTGACATTATTTATTGAGTCATCTACTAGTTCTTTGATATGATCAATTCCTACAACTTGTCCTTTGGGACCAACCTGGAATAAAAATATACAGTTGAATAATTTCTGCTAGTTTTGGTTTATTTATAGAATCAGTATTTCCATCTCCTGAACCCATCTCTTTAAAATAAAAAGAAAAAAGGTTAAGTGGTAGCGTGTTTCCGCAACGTTATTAAAGCTACTGCTTAGAATCACACATTCTGACTGCTAGAAGCAACAGGAATTTAAAGCATGTCAGTACAGTTTCATAAATGCTTGTTATAGTCATATTTTATGAAGTGACTCAATTAAGTTATAGTATTAGTAGAGATTTCCTTTCTCACGTTTTAGAAGGTAAATTCTATCACATACATTTGTATTACCTGCAATAGGAAGCAAAAACTTCAAGGACAAAGATTAGAACTAATCTCCTTTCATGTTGAGTAAACTTACTTAAAGATTAAGGTTTTTCTAGAGTCGACCTTACTTTAAAGATAACAGTAAGCCCTGCATTTTGTTCTACGTTATCTCAAGGGTCCTATCCTTTCAGGAGCAAACCCAACAGTTAACAGCAAGGGACCAATACCCTTCATCTCTTGTATTCATCAATCTACTTTCAGATTTACAACTCTTCCACAGGAAGAGTGGAACTTTTGAGAGTTCACAAGTGACAGGTGGGGGGGGGGGTGGGGGGGAGGAAAAAATCTCAGAACATGCATATACTTTTTACAGAAAAATCACTGTAACCAAAACTTCTGTTACAGGCTTTTCTTCTGTAATTGTGTCTTTTACTCCAGAGAAGTCATTCCAGTTTTAGAAAGAGGTGAAAAAAACCAAATTCTCAAAAAGCTGACTACTTTTGACAAGATCCAGTTCAAAGAACACAGTGGCAGAATGTGTCTTGGCAGCCCATGCTGTCATACAACTCTGTAGCTGAATGGCCACATTTGAAGGTATTGGTTATGTTTCTGTATCTTATATTTTAACCTTCCAAAAGCATGCAAGGCTAGTAATTGGTTATTATCAGTATCACGGGGATTTTTTTTCTGCTTCATTATGGACAAGACCTACGTTAAAAACATCAAAATAGCAGCATTGGCTCTTCTTTTTCAAGTGAAACAAGGCAGGCCTAGCTTTTGAAACAGAACATGAGACAGATGGCAAGTTTTCACTATGACAACCACAGGTTACTATTTGGAGGAATGCCTGGCAGTCAGCTGCATCAGAAGTTGGCAAAAGATCCAGTGTATTCCTGGTCTTCGACAAAGGGCAACTTCACAGAACTGAAAATTCAGCAAAATGGGCACAGCATGAAATAGCCTGATTTAAAGTAACAGAACCTCCTAAAAATGCCAGCAGCTTATTGTAATCCATTACGCTATTTCTGAATCCTCAGTCTAAACCGTCTCCGCCTATTGCCGTGGAACTTCAAAGCCTGTGTAATCAAGACAATAACAAAACGGTACAACTTTCCGTGTCTCCACAGTATGTTTAGAATAGAAATATACCACACTCTTTTTTTCTTTCTTCATATAAAAACATGAATTCTGGAAAAAAAACCCCGCAATCATTCATTTAATTTTATTCACTTTTAAAGGTTGGTAGCAAATTATCTACAAAGCACACAAACTTAAATAAATTTATCATATTAGTTTAACAACAACAAAAAAAATCTTAAGCAGGCTTTACTAGTCTAAACAGACATAAGTTTTTCCCAGAAGAACCACAAATAAGATTATCATCATAGAAGTAAAACAGCCATGGCATCAACGTGCACCCAGATATTTGTGGCCCAGATGTAAATCGCTCAATCTAGATCTCCAGCAGACTGAGAAGCAAAATCCACATGATTCAGCAAGAACATCCCAAGAAGATCTCCAAGACAATTGAATTTTGGTAGCAAAAGCCTTTAACAAAAGCTTGAAAGTAGTACATTATACGGAATGATGGCAATGTTAGCTTTCTTCTTCTGTGAAGTTGTTTCTGAGACAGAGCAATATATAGTGACTTGTCTGCAGTCATTCAACTGGATGAAGTTAGGTCCATATTACACAGTAATAATGCTATCAAACAGAAAAAAAGCATTTCTCCAACACTCTTCATAAAACACACGTCTGTAAAGCATTCCATAATATACCACCAAGAAGAAAAATGCAGCAGGGTTTAAGAGGATCATTCATATGGCAATGTAAGAAGTGTGCTTGACCTCAGCCCAACTGAAATGAGATTTCCTTTCTGTCATAATTCTGACTTCTCTGCAGAATTTTTTCAGCTTTTTAAAAATAGCTATTTTAAAAGAAAAAAGGGCACAACTAGATAGATCACATACCTTATCTAATATGGTTATTCCTGGATGCGTTCATTTTTTTAAATGAGAAAATAAACATAATTTTGAAAAAAGCTTTAACTCTTGTAGAACAGGAATTATGATACATGCTACTAGCACTTGATAACTGACCCCAAGGTTAGAACAAAAATAATAAGTAGAATATGGAAGAAATGCCATTTTAGATTTCTACTAAGCTGCAGTTTAACTCGTTTCACTTGTAATTTCTTTTAATATGGCAGTTAACAAGGGAAAAAAAAAAGTCAAGTCTTTTGCTTATACATTATCTAGTCCTAAACATCTAATTCTTAGTATAGGAAACCAAAAATGATCTCAGACTCAACAGATAGGTCCCAGAAAACAATAAAATCATTACCATATTCCAAATTAACTTCTCAGACAAAAAAAAAAAAGCATCAAGCTGGAAGTTTAATGAAGGTTGCTGCTAGCTATAAAGCATCGATAAAAATCTTGAAATGGAGAAGGGAAAACTGGTAACATACCACTACATAAATCAGTCTGACAATACTGTGGTTATAGCCATCATGAAACAATTTCTTTCATCTTTTTTTCCCTTGATGTAAGATGGGATGGAAGCATAGAAAGAATTCCTTACGTAGAGGCTGAACAACCCAGAGATGACGTTACTTAGCAAAGACATAAAAAGAACATAAATTAACATCTAACTTAGAAAAAGTTAGATTTGTATTGTATTGACTCTCCCAATATGCAGTAACAAGAAAAAAGTGAAATTTTCAGTTCAAAGACAAATAATTTATATACGCACAGTATAGAATTAACCTATGGAAATAGGATTCTCTTAAGCCTTGCTAAGCTCTCAACCCAGCAGAAAGACAAGACAATTGGTCATAATGAGAACATTCAGTCACACGAGATAAGGTAAAAATCGTGGTTGGACAGGACAAACACCTCCCTCCTCCAAGGTATAAAGCAGTCACTGAAAGTGTAATCAAGAAAAAGCTTCCCATCTAGGCAGTTTCTTCACTACCATAGGATTTACTGGACCCTTTTACTTAAGCATCTAGTATCAGCTACAACAAGAAATAGATACTGCTTGCACAAGGAGAATACTTTATTTCCTATGTAATCTACTTCAGTCCACTGTAAGAAGCTTGCTTTTTTATCTTTTATTCAGAGTTATACTGCAATTCACACAGTTCTGATGGTTGAGTGATGACACTAGATTTCTCACCATTCGTGAAAAGCATGCCGTAAGGATTCCACTTCCAGATCCTACATCAAGTGCTTTGGCTCCTTCATGTAACTGATCAGACAGAAGTTCAAGAGCATATGCATGCTGAGAGAGAGACAGAGAGAGAGAGAAAGAAAGAGAGAAAGAAAGAAAACTTTGTAATGTTTTGAGTTTGTTTTACCTAACACATGTTCATTTCTTCAGTGTTTTCAGGCAATACACAGCAGAGGGTTAGCATAAGAAATTTCAGAACTATTTGACCACACACACAAACACACACATACAAAAGAAAGTTAACTATATAATACATATTTGTAGTTATTTCACTTACTCCAACCACATATAATCTTCTTCGCCAGGTTTCTAACACATGCTCAACTTAAATATAATTACTTGGGCAGACACCATAAAACAATTCAACACTTTTCAGGTCTGGCGGTTCTCATTATTCTGGTGGTACAGGGTCCGTAAATAACTTGGTATATGTCATAATATCATATGCATTGGAACATGCTGGCACTGATGCTAGTGATAAAGGAGGCAAGTTTGGAGGGCCAGAGAAAGGGGCTATTGTAGGTAAACTGCTTGCATTACCCGTACACTTGCTGAATCAAAGAGCAGGAAAAAGAAGTTGTCTTCTACACAGGCAGATAGGCAACAGGATTCATATATCACAGAATCACAGAAAGTGTATATGAAAGTATAGTAGCCTGCAGACACACTTTATAAGTAGTTTTAGTTTCTTATATGGTGGACTAACACACAGACTAAGTTTATGTTGTACACTAAAACAATTTTTGTTATTTAATGTTTAACAAATAGCCATTCTCAAGCCCTTAAGACTTAATTATTTCTGTATTCTGGCTGTGATAGATTAGAATATTTATTATTTTAGCATTTATTACAGGATACATTTTCCTTTTTGCTTCAACACTTCATATAATACAAATGGTAGGCATAGAATAATTGAAAATATAATGACTTAGGTGAATCAAAACTTTGAAAACATAGCTTATACTTATTTTATTATTTAACCACAGTTGCAGTATGTCTCTTTGTATCCGTGCATGCAATCGTTAACACTTTTATACAAAAAAAAGAGTTATTAATATAAATAGTTAGAAACATCCTAACCCTGCTAGGTAGGTTTCGACTAAAAAGTCAAAAGGAGAACACTTACCAACCTTTTAAAGCATTCCTTACTCTATGTTTTTCACTTCTCAAACACCACATGGACAAAATATATGCTTCTATTCATTCTTCATACCAAATAAGGAAACTTAGAAAAATTTATGTCTGTGCTACATATAGATGTACATAGGAACTGAAATCTCCCCTTAATGCTTTAATTAAGGCTCAGCCATGAATGCCCTGTTCTCAAGTCACTTGGTAACAAACCTGCATCTCAGTACGATGTATTTTTTTTTTTTCCCCCTGTCTGGAGAATTAAAGACATCACATCAATAATGCACCACAGAAATCACTGTTATCCACTCCTGAACTCCTATCTTTTTGTAACTTATAGAGTCAGAGTAATTTAGTTTGGAAGGAACCTGTGGAAATTACGTGCTCCAACCCTTTTTCAAAGCAGGGACAACTTAAAATAGGCTGCTCAGGACTCTCTCCAGTCAGCTTCTCCATATTCCAAGAATGGAGATTCCACAATCTCTCTGGTAAACCTGTTCTTAGCACTTGACTACCATCACCGTGAAAAACGTTTTCCTAGTATCTAATCAGGATTTCCTTTGTTAAGTTTTTGTCCATTACTCCTCATCACATCATTGTGCATCTCCAAGAAAACTCTGGCTCAGTCTTCTCTGTATCTTTGCGCTAGGTGGTTCATATCATTACCACTATTAACCAACAGTTGATGAATTTGTTAGGATAAATATTTTATTTTAGAAGCATTTGGATTTTTATAAAATCATCTTCGTTGATCATGCAATTTTAAAGCTTACCATATGTGGAGCACTGATTGTTGCTTGGAAACCTGCAAAACCAGAAAAAGGAAGAGCATATTGGTACAACTGTTCAGAGAGTAGCCTTACCATTTTTATCTCGACTGTAAAATACAATACCTCAATTACTGTCCTCACTCAGGAACACTACACAAAAACAGTATTGGCTAAGTTACATAAATATTCTACTTTGGAAGTGAGGTGAGGTATGTCATCTACAAGTTGTGCCATGTCAACTCTGAAATGGGAAAAAAAAAGATATTCTAGCTTTGATATCAGTTATATTCCCCCTTTTTGGCACTATATTTCCTTAGCTTTGTCAAGGACATTCCATTTAAAGGATTAGTATTCCCCAGAACAATGCATTTCCTTTTTCTATTGGTCCCTATGTAAAAATGTGGATTTGTTAGTTTCAGTTTGACATAGTATGGACTATAAAATTCCTGGAGACAATGACCTCATCTGTTTTCCAAACAGCTTACATACACCTAAGGGAAAACATGGAAGAACACTCATCTGTGTTTACTTCTGTGGTGATATATCCAACTCTATATTTATCTTAAAAGATTTTCGAACTATCCTATCCAAATAATAAAACCTCACTACAACTCATGGGGACAGGGAGCAGGACAGGGAACAAGACCATTTAATTCATTCTCCTGCCTCAGAAAGGTAAAACTAGGGACTCAGGTGGGAAATAACTGTCCTATAAGCAGATCATTCCCGTTTAAAAACCTTACTTAATATCTATTTTTATATAAAATTCCCATGTAAAAGTTTAAAGATTTCCACACTGACCTCAACTGACTCATTTTTGTAAAGGAAGAGACCATCTCTGAAGTAAACCGGATACAAGGATGAATTAATAATTTAAAAGCCAACTAAACCAGCAAACAAATTGCTTACAGTTTAAAGAATAAATACATCTTTACACATGTTAATATTGACCTAAGACCATCAATTCACTTGATGAGTCCAAGTACACCAACTGCATACCACAACAAATTGAAACTTTGTACTTAAAAGATACTAAATAAACTGATAAAGAACTAAACACGCTCCCAAATTTTAAAAATTAAACCAACATTCTTAACATACATATGACAAAGGCAATTGCCGGTTCACAAATTAGAGCAAACAACCATTTTTACAAAAGAGTCTTACCTATAGACTGAGGAGAATCCATATAAGGGTTGTATTTCGCATAGTGGCAACGGTCTGTAGCCAGCATTACTTCAAATACCTTGTCTGATTTGATTATTCCATTTTCTAAAAATAATAATAATAATAAAATTGAAGATATTGTTTCTCTTCTACAATGTAAAAAGCACGTGAGATACAGGAATATATTCCTAAAATTGTGAAAAATCATGTTACCTAACCCTTTCTAATGTTCTAACCCTCATCAATATCAGAATTTAAGCTTTGATCTATAGATCAAACAGTGCTTAAGACTGAACTTTGAACAAGACTTTCCCAGCAGTTACAGATGCTTTTCTGAAACATTAGAGATGGCTTTCAAAGATCTGTCCCCTAGAAAAACTGAAGTTCATACCTTTTATATTCCTGAATTATAGCAGTTTCTTACTGAATTGGTAAACTAAACACCAAACGTGAGGTACTTCATACTTTTAAGAAATTACTTAAGAGATGAGTTATTGAGAAATATACAAAAGCAGCGTACAAGCGTGCAGCTACAGCATCCTTGCTTAGTATTCTATTTTCAAGTTTTGTTTCTCTTTTTTTGTTGGCAAAAAAGAAAATTCTTTTGTAAAAAACTCCTACATAATCAGAATTCTTACGCTGGGGCGGACTGAGGCCAAAGAGTATTCGCAGCAAAACACTCTGAATCTTTGTTCACTTTTCAAAATTAAATGTGAATGCACAAGCATGTAAAATGTCAGAAGCACTATGCAATGTGGTCATTTTTTCTTGTAACTTTTGTTTGTAAGTTTTTTTTTTTTGTCATTATTTAAGTTCTGAAGAGATATTTAGGAGCAACAGAAAGCTTTGGAAAATAAACAGAAGAAAAACTAATCAATTGCATTAAAAGGAACACTTTAAACGCTAAATAACCAAAATGTCAATAGCAGAACACTTCACTGAACTACTGATTTTAAACAAGGAGGATTTCTTTGGAAAATTGTCTTTTTTTTTTTTTTTAAAGCATAATCTGGCTACTTGCGAAATATAGCCCAAAATGTAATAATATAAAAATCAGTTTGGGGTGTTTTTGCAAGATCGTCTCTATTGAAGTTGCATCAGTTTTTGAACATGCTACCAACATTAAATACCTCCTGTTGAGGCCTGGGCTAACCTCTGTAGAGGTTTTCTTGACTGCCTAAAGAGTGGTTGGAAGCACACCGATCACTTGCGGTTTTTCATTGGTTTTCCTCCCTACTACCTGGTGTCCTAGGCTTTCATTATCCTAGATAACAGATGCTTGACATTAGAAAGAAAAAAAGATATTTTGCTTTTTGTTTCAGAGACAATGTGTCAAGTAGGATTGGAATAAGAATATACTACCAAATGATAAAGAAGAGCATTACTTTAAGTTATTTCTGTATCTGATAACTCCCTAAAAAACAAATCATATTCTCTCCTACATCATATTACACATATTAACGCAAATGGCTGGAAATGACTGTGATTTCTCTCTCTCTTTCTCTCCCTCTCTCTCTCGCCTTCTTTGTGTATGTATGTGTGTGTGTGTTTGTGTATGTGTGTGATATATATACATATAGACACACACACGATAGATACTTATACCCACCCACCAACACAGAGGTACTGATGATATATGATAGTAAGAAAAAAAAGTCTTTTGCCCCAGCCACTTGGAATTACATATTAATTCTGGGAACTAAGCGTAGAAATCCAAAATTTTACTGTTAGCATCTTATTAGGTATCACCAAGAAGTACCTCTGGGATAAAATGTCCTTTCTGAAAAAAAGTCTTAATGTCATTTGCTTTCACTATTGGCTACAGCCAGCTTGGGTTCTGTTCAAAAACAGAGGGGCAGGAGAATAATCAAGAGCTGAGGATAACAGGAGTGAAGGGTCTTTGGAGGAGCTGGAAGAGCTGGAAAAAAAAAAAAACCAACAAAACCCCAAAAAACAAAAAAACAGCAGGTGAGGAACATTTTCATGAAAAAATCTAAAACAGTGATTTATTCCTTGATGCTATATTGTGCGGACAAACGCATACATTCTAGAAGCTATAGGTAACATCCATGCTTTCCTTTTGGGCCTTGGGGAAAAATATGTAGAGTATAACATGATCAAGGGCAACTGCAGATTAGGCCAAGCAAGGCCCTACTGTGAGGCAGAGAACCTCCTCCAGTTTTCAGTGGAGTTCCTCTAACCTGCTGTGACTGGAGGCTTTTCCAGCCCTCTTGTTTCACACAGCCCCTTAATCTGTTCTCTTTTTTAAAAAAAAAAAAAAAAAAAAAAAAAAAAAAAAAAAAAAAAAAAAAAAAAAAAAAAAAAAAAACAAAAACCAAAAACACTCCATACCTGCCTCCCTAAGTAATTTCACTAAGTAAATTAGCATTTATGAAATTTTTCCTGCCTCCATTCTGTTATTTTGCTATATTTTCACCTATTCTTCTCCTTACTTTGTTTAATCAAAGAGCTCATTATTTCAGCCAGAACAATTATAACCTTACCAAGTGTGGTGCTTATGCACATTGACAAACGACCCAAAGAACTGAAAACGGTAGCTGCTAGTACTCTACAAAGACCCTCCATTCAGCAAGTACTCCTGAGATTTCACAAATGGTGGACTGCCTTTGAATAGTATTATCTTTTTCATCAGTAAATAAGAAGTTGAGCAAGTTATCCAAACTCAAAGTCCCCAGCAAAATCATGGGGAGAAGCAGGATCTCCTGTCTTAGCCATGTGCTTCTATTATCAGACAGTGCTCCCTCTTCATAAAAACACAGCCTCTCAATGATGATGTGGAATTACAGGGTTATCTTGTTATGCCCCAGTAGATTAATCGTACTTTTCAATTTTGTTTACTGTGCAATGGAGAAGAGTGGAGTACAAAAAATGAACTTTTAGAACATTGGTGTTATTAAGTCCTGAAGTAAAAACAACAGTAAGCTTAAAGGAGGGAATTTAAAAAAAGCAATCAAACCCTAAATAGTAAAGGCAACATTGGCACTGTAGCAATTTTTTTCCCTGTTGATAACAAATTGAACTTTTCTTAGCCTAATGGTTGAACACAGAGCAGCTACAAGGTCCTGGAAATCAAATGAAAGACCTCTCCTTCCTCCAACAGTCAGTCCCAAGATGACCAAGAGCAAGTATCTTAATTGTCTGGAACAAATATCTAACAGTTTCTGAATTGCTCAGAAAACCTTCCCTAAAAAAAAAATCCAATAATAAAAGTGTATATTGCAAAGAAGTCATTCCCCCTCCGTGCTATCTCTAATTGTCTTGTTTTTTGGCATTTAATAGTAAGTTATTTATTAATAAGTGTCTGTGCAAAACAGTTTCTAAATCTTAAAGGAAAGCTAGGTATGGCAGGAAAATCATTCACAATTAAATACATGTAGGCTGATTTTTCTTTTCAGTGCACACAGATCCTGCCTTCTTGGAAGTTAAGACAACTGCTTGGTTTCACAACTCTGATAATCAGGACTGAAAACAAATTAGATACTAAATTACAAAGCACTTACAAGCAAAGACCAATACTCAAACCAATTGGTTAGTTCAGAGTTCAAAATCGAAATCAAGCTCCATTTATTAGTTATACCAGCACAACCCCTAAGCTTCAAAGGGCTGAAGCTGTAAAGAAACTACTTCGGAGCAGGGCATGGCCTGCAGAGTTCAAGAGTTATTCTGTACAGAGACTGTTGCAATGACAAATTGACATAATTGGAGCATGTTTTGAAAACTCATTCTGGTCTGCCTCTCTTCTACAAATAACACCATGAAAACAACAACAACAAAAAAGAGCTCACATAGCCGTCCTTGCATTTGAAGGTGTAAATATACCACTACTGAATGTAACCAGGGAAACAAGGCAGTTGACTGTCAGAGTTCAAGAAAAAAAGAGCCAGAACTTTGAAAGACACCACGGATTTGCAATAGGTAAACAATCTCTCTCTTTGTTGAGAGCCAAACACTGAAATGCTTATCTTCCCAAAAACTGCCTACACATCACTGATTGTATCCTGACTGTTGATCAAACAAGTTTCCAGCTAAACCATAAAGTGCTAGCAGTCAACATGTACATTAACATTAGCTTCTAGAACACAAAAGAAGGTGTCTCATTGTTCCATGATATAATCTAGCACACAAGCTTACTTATACAAACTATAAATGGTCCTGCTACTATGGTCTGTCACAGCTGAGGAACAGCTGCCGAGATACTTCCTGTCACAGGCTTCAGATGCACAAAATGCTCATGCAGATCCCAAAAGAATTTATTGTGAGACTATGTCAGCATCTACACAATTCAGCGTCTTCACAGGTGACTTTCCCCATAACTACTGCAAAGTACTTAATTTATGGAGGTGACTTTCCAATACAGCAGCAATACTTCAAATCACAGAGAGGTCTTAAAGTATGGTGCAAAGGACAGCCCTGTTTTGCAAAAGATGAAATCAAGTAGATGCAAATAACTTAAGTGACAAGTAATAGTTTTCAGATGTCTCCACCTGAGCCATACAAAACAACTAGCTACTTCCAGAAGGAAAATAGGCTGGAGTAGGACCACATCTTGATTTTCAAGTAACGTGAAGCTGGTTAGCGTTAAGCAGCTGATCAACTGACAGACAGTTTTAAGGCTTGGGTCTTTTTGGTGGGGAGAGGATGAAAAAAGCTGGAAAAGAAATTTAGTTAACAGAATTTTATTTCAGTAATGGGCATGGGAAGATTTCATTATAACCATGAAGACAAAGAAAACACTTGGCAGGAGAAATGATGGATCAGCATCCTGAGATATAAAAAAGGACACTGATCCTCAAACATACAAAGCTCTTTGTACGAAAGAAACTTAAAGTGTTTGCAAATGGGCATTTTTTTAAACCATGCATACATACAAACCTCTTGTGCTTTGCTGATGACTTAAGAGTATCTGCCTCAAACATTCAGCTTCAGGTCTGTTTTCGCTATGACATGGCTTCAAAATACAGAAGGTTCGAACAGAAGGCTGCATACAGTTAACTTCTGGAAGGATGTCTAATAAGTTAAGATTATGCAGTACAGAGGCAGAATGACAAGAGGAAGAATGAGGAAAGTAAGGGACCATCAGAACT